TAAAAAATGATACAGCTCATTAAAACACCATTAAAAGAATACATTTTATTAAGATCTCTATCTATATATATACATACATATAATTATAAATAATTTTATAAGTAGTCTTATTTTATATTGGGTGTCTTAATGGCTGAAAATGGATAAAAAGCAGTTACATTTTAATTTAAAGATTTGAGATTCGAATCAAAAATAAAGAACATTCCTCCAAATGTTCTTTAATGTGATCATTATAATTCTAATGCTTACAACTTTGTTTTTATTGTCTGCAATGCGTAGCCTATATCTTTATTAAATGTGTTTAGCTGAAAAGTGGTAATTCTCTCTAATGTGTACAGAGAGGTGGACATCAGTGCTGCAGTGAAATTCCCAAGATCAGTCTGCTTTGCTAACAAATATAGTTAAATCTTACCTGCATTCTAAATAAATACCGTTAGGTGAAAACATCAGTAGGCATTGAGTTATTGATACAATCCCTAACAGCCAGAATGGAAGAAGAGCATGCTGGGTCATCCTGGATCTGAGCCTGTTCTGTGTATTTACCTACAGGATGCAATAAATGTCTACAAGGCTGAGTTTGGACCATTACATCTAAAAGAAAACATACAATCAGTGATTTTTTTATTGTTTACATTAATATACACATTTTCTAAGTATTAACCTCACAGCAAATAAGTAGAACTATATAATAAACAGGCTTTAGTAGTTAAACAGGCGTTGTGCACACAGGTGCTTTGTGTCTCGGTGCTGGTGGTGTCTAGGTCTCAGAGTTCCTGTCCTCCTGCCGTCTTCTGTTGTCCTCAGGATAGGAACTGATGTTTCCTGATGATGAGGGAGGGGCAGTATGTGGGCTTCAAACTGGTCCTGGATAACAGTGGGAGACCTCCGTTGTCTGAATACTGAGACCAGAGGGTTGGTGAGATGCAGATCTTCTCTACCTCATCTAGAAACGGAGTTGGTTCAGGGAAAACTTTTCCAAAGACCAGTTCCATGATGTCATCGCCATATTCTGCAATGATAGACGATAACTTTAATGACATATTTTGTTTACAAGCAGCTTTAGGAAAGTTGTTTCTTTAGCTTTCATGTTTATAGTCACGTTTGTGTTTGTTCACAAGTTCACTTTGCTGCAGTGACTTCATATTCTTACAAATGTAATAAAATAGTGACACTAAAATTATACAAATGATTCCTTATGAAAGGAAGCTCATTAGAGAGCAGTGCAGACAGACTTACTACATGCTGCAGCTGTTTTTACAGGCCAGCTGCTGCTGAATTTGGGGAAAGTTATTCTGCACACATCCAGATCAGATGGTCGATTACAGAAAATAATGTAATTCAATAATTTCTAAACAGATTAAACAAGTAAAACATCAAATAAATCACTCTGCTGTCATCAGACGGAGTGATTCAGGGGGTGAGGTGTTCTTAATGATGAGGGTGGCTGAGGTGTGTCATCACTCACTTTGGTCTGGTCCAGCTACCATCTCTTTACTGGTGGGTCTCCTTCCTCAGTAGGTGACGTGAAATGCCAACATCTGAACGTTCTGTGTTCCTTAGAGGAGAAGAAAAGTAACATTAGCAAGCTGGCTAAATTATTTTTTACTAGCATCTCGGAGAAGCAGATCTTCACTTACCTAAACATCAGACCAGTTTGTCCCAGCTGAGCTCATCAGGGCTTTAGTCTGACAGCCTGTCAGTGAAACACGGCTCCAGTCTTCTGGATGTTGACTCTAAAAAGCAAAGGAGCATTTTTACTTTTGTTTTACAGCCGATTTTATCAGCTTTCCGACGCTCACGCTCATACAGACGGTGAGCTTTGCTGCGTCTGACTGATGCAGAGTTCGTTTTTATATCTGCAGTGAGACAAAAAACTAACCTCACTCCACTCAGAGATTGTTCTTTAAAACTATTAAATCCACTGTGTTGACGCACTTTAATGACTTTGTCACGCTGCATTTTAGCTGATATGGGACTTTATTTACTGGATGCTAAGATTACATCACACTCACGTAGAATAACACACAGGCTCTCTGCTGCTACAATCAGTGGAAGGTTATCATCTGGTGCTCTGTTGATCAGAAATCCCAGATCACGTTTTATTCCACGAAAATCAGCCAAATCCACATTGATCTGGGTGCTAACTTTACTAGCATACTGTGCTAGCGATAGCAAGCCGGATGCTAACGCTTTAGTGCTGCTAATGCCCGTAAATCTAAAGTAAAGTTTGTCGACATTTTAGAGTGATATGAAGCTTACCGCTCTGCTGCTGTGTCCCGGTGCTGCCACATTCAGATGCAAATGACTCCTTTTAGATAGATGAAGCCCTCAGTACTTAGCCACTAGCCTGGAGACAGGAACGAACGAACCACGCGCACGCGCGCGCGCGCACACACACACACACACACACACACACACACAAACAAACACAAACACACTACTTTTTCTTCTGTGTTTTTTTAGCAGTAGTGTCATCAGCTCCTGGGTTTAAATACTGCCACACCACCCTTCCTTAAAACGAGGAACAGTTTTGAGCTGTGTGTGGCTAAAATAACCAGACATTCTGCATTTTTCCAATAGGACTACAAAAAATCTTAGCGAGAAGAAAAAATGGCGGATTGGCTCTGTGTTTAGCCGAGGGCCATTACCATATTTGGTAGTTATCCTGACTAAATTAATTACTGACGTAATGGATAATGTAAAAACTGAACGGGTGGACAAATATGCCCAAAACTTAATTATTAAATATCTAAATAGCAACTCCAGTGAATAATATAAGCCTTTTTGCTCACTTAGACACTTAAAATGTGAAACACACTGTGTTAATGGATAAAAAAGTGGGTTTTTCATGTTATGTCTCCTTTAATTGAATTGGCACAGCGGAAGGATGGATAGATGGTGCTTTTGTGAAAGACAAAGTTTGAGTGAATTGGACCTCATCTTTGTCTCCTCTTAGGAACGCAAAAGTAGTTATACCATTCGGGTAAATTTTCATAGCAACAGATCTGAATCAGAGACCCTTGATTGAAAAGTTCGAGGTGGAATGAAACATCCTCTTGTGATTTTAATGAAAATACAGCGAGTGCTGTCTCCCGCACATGTCAAATGAAACTTGTTCCACTAGAAAATGTATTAAGAAGCTCGGCGCAGGGAACAATGTGCTGATATGCATTTGAATGCAAGGCTGGCTAGGCTGCACAGGTAAGGCAAGGCAGGCTTTCACACTGCTGCGTGCCATCTTTGTGTTAAAGCAAGGAGCTTTGGAAGGCCATATTCATCATGGAAATGAAACATTAGGAAACAGCAGAGCAAGGCTTTGTGCCAAACTGGAAAACATTTCAGGATGCACACAAACCATTAGCTTTTTCGACATCACTGGATCAACTTTTTGTTTGATTTCCGCCTTGATTTTTGTTTTTTCTTTAACTTGACTCATTCTTCATGCAGGCACTAAATATTTCCCTATTTGCAACCACCAGACTGTATAACTGGAAAATGCAGCAGGTGTGGCATTATTATTCACAGAGAATGCATAGTGAATTGCTAATGCACCAGGCTTACTTGGGTTGATTGTAAATTATCAAAGCAACAGTACATTAACCTCATAAAAATATAAATGTGCTAATGTTCACACCAACCAATGACTATTTGCTAACATCCAGTGAACATCTATGTAAACATGTGCATAGGCATTCATGCGTAGTATCCTTTCAAAATCTTTGCACAAGTGCATTCAGACAATCCATGTTTTGCCATATCGACAACAAGTGGGAGTTTCTTCTCTATCAATTCTATCGATTACTTCTGGGTGAGTGAAGGTAATGAGCTTTGGTGTTCTTTCTCTCCCTGGTGATCTCACCTTTTCCCCTGTCTGCAGCTAGCTCACCCACCCCTCGGATGTTACATGGCAATGATTTTCTGATTAACCCTGTTGGCTGTAAGGTTCACTCATGCAGGGGCATGAGGGTGTGTGTGTGTGTGCGACGCAGTTAGATTTGTGATGAAGAGAGGTGTTGATTGAGTGATTGAAACTGAAATTAATGCAAGGATGTATTCTAGTGGTCACATCTTTCTGTGACAAGTGATGAAATGGAATAGCTTAGCAATTATTTCAATGTAAAGGTCTCGTTCATTGAGAAGCCGTTTAATACTTGTTCTTTTTAAAATATGATCGGTCACTCGGAGTTGCATATGCATGCTAAACGTGAAACATTTATTTCTGCCCCCATCGCTTGCATTAGCTGCAGAAAGGCAAAAGATGAGTGAACGATTAGGTCTTAAAAAAAGCCAGTCTGTTCTACTTCACTGGGAAATGCTTGCATTTATGGACTCTCACACATTGACTTGCCACCGTGGTTTGGCTGTGTCGATTTTAAGTGTGCAGAGTGCATCTTGGCTAGAAGCTAACAATTACCAGCTTTATAACATGGTGGAACATGTTTGGGCTTGTGTTATTTGTGGAAATAAAATATAAGTGTTGCATTTTTTTGCCCAAGAGTGAAGAGCAAAGGAAGGCAGTAGAAGAACTGCATTGCTGTTATCCAGTCAAAAGTGGGATGTTTGAATATCATGACTATTAAAGAGTAAGGCTTGTAGTCCTGCCACCCCCCTCTGACAAACTTCTACACCCAGAAACAGGAGCGCCAGAGCATTTTTATCTACACAAAACAACTCACAATGCATTCTTTCATACTAAAGACCACAGCATTAAAAATCAATAAATAAGATCTTTATAGTTTATGTACATTGGACTGGCTCACAGTCATTGTTTTTGTCCCACATTATCAACAGAACGGTTCATTAGAATTTTCTCAGACAATGTTGGGTAGATTTATTTTAAATTCACAAGCCAAAATCAAAATTTGTGTGAAATATAATTCACTCAGAATTGAAGGCTTTCAGCCAGAAGTTTTCTTGGGTCATGGGTGTAAAGCTGTCACCACTTCTATTTATTGAAAGTTTATTTGATATTAATTGAAGTTTTGTTTCTTGTGTCTTAGGAGGTGCTGATGACAACCTCATTGAAGGAGGAGAAATGAAGTTTGTGTGTAAGCCAGGAGCGAGGAACATCACTGTGATCTTTCAGCCTCTTCTCAGGTATGGCACCAAGCATTTACTCAGTTAGTTTCCTAGTTAAATACAAAGATTTCTAAAGTCGTTTTTGGTGAGTTTTTAATTCGTCATGGCTCTTTAGTGACAAAACACCAGAGGACAAAATACATCTCTGCTAAGGCACAAGTTTGATAATTGAATTCATTCACAGTCGATTTTACATATTCAAATCATCTTTCATTTGGTGAATTAGTTATGCAAACATGTTCTATCCCAAAAAAAGGTTAGAACAGAAATAGCAAGGTACTGAGTTTGTATCGGGCAAAAGAGTGACTCAAGATTAAAGTTAATAAAAAAATGCTTTTTATTTAGTATTTTAAAAGCAGATTCCCATTAACATCACAACATGCTTCTGTCCACACTGGTGTGAAATGATCAGACCACTTACAACATATGATGCTGTGGACATGACAGTAAACATGTAAACATGTAAATCTAGTCACATTATACAAGCTCCTAGTGACTCTATTGATTTTAGCTTTACATTTTTGGTTCCAACCTCATAAATCAAAGAGGATTTAAAATGATAAATCTCAAGTTTGAGATGTTTTTGTACATCTCCTAAAAATTTGGATTGATTCCCAACATTTCTCTTTATTTCTTTGTATTATTGCTGTTCTGAAAGTCTGCCTTTGTTTTACCATCCTGTAGTTTCTATACGGTACCACAGTCCCAGCAGAGGAGAGGAAATCTAATAGTGAAACAATTTTATTCAATTGATGTTCACTCGGTGATACATTGCCTTTTAGGAGCCATTAAACAGGGATGCTTTCTCTGCTGCTCTAACCATCATACATGTCTTGAATTTTAACTCCAGCTGTTTACCCACAAGAAGAGGGATGATGTGTTTTTAGGCACATTCTATGTTTTTATTTTATTTTTATTTTTTATGTTTTTTGTATAAAATCTTTCTATTTTTACTGCAGTGTAATTGAAAGAGAATGCCTGGATGACAGCATGTGCTATATGCTTTCTTGTATTTTCTAATAATGTCTCGTTATCGGTTCCTTGGCTTTGATTCCGCCTCGTTTGGTTTCCCTCTCATCATGAGCTCTACGCCCGTCCTCTCTCTGACATCCAGCCCTAGCAACACTGGACTGGCCAAGCTGTTTTGTCGGAACAAATGACCAAAAATAAAAGAGTGACTAGCTCCCTCCCACATCTCCCATGTTGTCTGTAATGGTTCACATCAATCAAGGCAAACTGCCTTGAACACAGGGCTCACTGCTCTCTTCCTTCCTCCCTCCCTTTATTCCACCTGGGTTCTCCAGACTTGTTGTGCCAATGGAGTGCCGTTGCTTGCAGATGGTTTTCTAATGGCAAAGCTCTAGCACTTCACTGATGGATCACTATACCTCCTGCAGCAAGCCTGGCTACTTATGGCAGCTTTAATGACAAAAGCAGTTAGGGGTTTGCAGCACCAGAAATCAGATTCAGTACATGGGAGATAAAACACCAGGGTCTTAATGTGCAACTGCAAATGATTTGTGTTGTGTTTTGTTGTGTTCTCAATCATTAAATGAAGTTAAATGTAGAATTTTTATTTATTTATTTTTATTTCATAGTCTTTGTTTAACCCAACCTTCACTTAAAGCAGCACTAGGGGCAGCAGTAGCTTAGGAGGTAGAGCGGGTTCAGTAATCAGAGAGTTGTAGGTGCTCCCAGCAAGAATTCAGCTGTTAACTCACACTTAACCCACCTTGCCTGCTGATGGTGGTCAGAAGGACATGTGGTGTCTGTGCTTAGCAGCCTTGCCTTCGTCAGCGAACCCCAGGGCAGCTGTGGCCACAATGTAGCTCACCACCAGCAGTGTGTGAATGTACGTGTGCATGTACAGTATGATTAATACACTAAGGATGCACGTTTTCCAAAATGTCTTTAACCAGTTATTGACACACACACACACACACACACACACCGCACACACACACACACACACACACACACACACACACACACACACACACACACACACACACACCACACACACACACACACACACACACACACACACACACACACACACACACACACACACACACACACACACACACACACCTTTTCCACTGCTCAGTAAACAATACAAACGCTTTTCCCATCTACTCTTAATATGAGTGCAACTGACACACAACCAAAGTCCCACACTCGTTACAACATTTATGAACAAAAGTGGCGTGAAAGTGTGATGAGAGCTGAAATGTCCATCAGAACCTGTTGCGCAACAGCCTGTCTGGCATCAAATACACAGTGCTGGCCACGCTTAAAATAAATAAACACTTTAGTTTCCTTACATTGAACTAAACTACACTCAGGAGGCTGACACAAGCAGGAGCATCATGGGATCTGTTTAATTGCTGGTCTCGGTTAATTTTCCTGCGCAGCTACATTTTCCACGTTCTGCCAGGCTCAATGCTTAGATGTGGGTTTCATTCTGTTAGCGCCCAAATATCCTGCCCTCTAGTGGCACTGTTGACACAGTTGTGGGAAATTTACTTCCTGCTTCCCAGCATGTTTAGCGGCACATACACAAATATGATGCATGAGGCAATGTTTGTGCTTGGAGCAACCAATTTAGTTAGACTTGTAGGGTCTTCTGCTGACATTTGGCTGGTATTTGCATCCCTTGCTCTGGACGAAGTTGGCATTTTGAAAAGTTTCAGCAGGCCCCAAGTCTCCTCTCGTTAACAATCCAATGAGGGACAAGAGGAGGACGTGCCGCTATCTGTGTGCCTGCCCACAGCCAGCAGTTAGATTGCACGGGTCCTGAACGTCTTTCTTTCCTTTTTCCTTGAGGTAGAAAAACTGGGAGTCTAGAAACAACTGGAGAAAAAAACAGCTGCCGATTCCTGTGACAAGCACATACATAATTCAGTGTAGATCTGCACACTTTAAAAGTTGTGAAAGAGGACATCTGCTTGCATAATCAGCTCTTTTGTCCTGGACTAACTGCCTTCCTTTCTTTACCTCGTTGAAAGGCTGCATTCAATTTTTTGTCATGTCCATTCAGTAGAAATATATCACTGTATTTTTCTTTACAGGACAATGTAGTCTTTGTTTTTAAAATCTGTGTAAGTACCTTTTCCCCATATGTCAAAGAAACTATTCCAGAAGTTGTCAGCTATGTGATGCTAGAGTGATGACAGTAGGACTCAGCAAATTCATCATTTTCACTTTCTATTTTTGCTGAGAACTGCATGCGTCAGGCGCAGAAGAAGGGAAAGGTGGCATGCCAATTTTCTTGATGATGCACCTCAAACAGCTCATGTAGGCCGCTGAGCAGTAAATAGGAGCACAGCAATGAAAAATAAAACTCATATCGAGGACACACAGGTGAGGAGAGCAGTGCGTCTTCATCTTCCAATGCTCTCTAAACGGACATCAGGATTTGCCTTTTCTATGTGACAGTGTCCCAATGCAAAACAAAATAAATAAAATTAGATACAAATGCTTTGTGCTTTAAGATTTTTTATTTTATTTTCATTATATTAATTTAAGTCCATCTGTTTTGGTCAATAACTGCTGGAAACATTCAATTTTAATGTAAAACAGGTTTTAAATATAATCTGTGCATAAATATAGCTTTGTTTCTGACCAACAGTTAGAACATCACATCACTAAATGCCACATTATGTAATGTTAATGATAAAACTATTTAGTACAAAAAAGATTCAACTATTGAATACAATTTGAAAACCCAAAGCATATAAAGCTTTTTATACATTTTTCGTATTACTTGTGATATTAAGGTATTAAAGGAACATTTGGATGTCATGATTTAAATGTATGTTTCTGTAAAATGTAACTGAAGTGATTGCAGCTGTTTGTCTCCTTAAAGATATGCTTCACTTAAATACCTGTTTTTAGTTTTTCTTATTATAATTGTATAATCACTCAGACTTTTTCATGCAGGCTGAACATGAAAATAGTCTCCTACACTTATTTCCATACATATATATCAGTCCTTATATAAGACACTTTTAGCTACTTGGCATAATGAACTGAACTCAATTATTATTATTATTATTATTATTTTTATTATTTAACCCCTATTTAACCAGGGACATCCTTTGAGAACAAGTCTCTTTTGCAAAGGTGCCCTGGCCAAGATGGCCGCCATAAAAATTTCATATGAAAATACAATTAGTTAAAACAATGACAGTAAAAACATAAAATTTTAACATTACAGGAGTTCAACCAAAATTAGTAAATAACACATACTAATGCGCACACACACACACACCTATGTGTACACGTACAAGTACACAAACATACACACCAGCATACACACAAATACAATGGGAAAGACATACCAAGCATGATGCATTAATATTGCAGATTTTCAGTAAACATTAGGGAATGGAAGTTTTCGTCTTGACCTACATCATAGGCTTATCCTAACTTCGGAAGCCGGGACAGGGGCCGAATGTGCCTGCTTCCTGTTCCTTTACTAGCCACTTAAATTGACCAAAAGACACTGGGTTTTCTAGTTTTAAGTGATTCTTAAAGTGGCAAGTAAAATGTTTTACTTTGTGAAGTGCCTTGAGATGACACTTGTGGTGATTTAGCACTATGTAAATAAATTGAATTGAAATCCTGCATTAGCTTCTGATAGAAAATCGACGGTGAAACTTTAGGATATGAAAAGCCTGACAGATATACGTCATACTGTCACTTAACGTTCATGGACTCACCCATCTTTACTCGCAATGGGGAAGGCTGTTGTTGGTTTACTGTCCAGGAAACAACAGAGAATGTCTTGGCTGGTAGAAGGTAACAGTTAGCATTAGCATCTCCACCACACAGCTGAACTCCAGGCTTGTGTTATTTGTGGAGATAAAACATCCATGTACCAGAGCAGGGTTTTCCCCAGCGCTTTATAATCCTGGCGGCCCGCCAGGCTTTGCATGGCCACCCGCCAGGCTAAGCGTCATGCCCCGCCCCCCTCCCCGACCCTACCGGGTCCGCTGACATCAACAGCGCAGCGA